GCCGGTTCGGTGAAGAGAAAGAGGAGAGCGCGGGGAAAGCACCACAGCAGGCAGCAAAACCCCCGAGCAGAGCTGGCCCAGGGGCTGGAGCTCCCGCCGGGAGCGTCCCGGCCTCCTCCCTCCGGTGCAGCCCCTCCCGGCAGGGTGGGCGTCGCTGTGCGGACCCCCCGGGCGTGTGGGGCCCTGACCTCGGCACTCCCGGGTCCGTGGGGGAAATGAGAGGGTGTGGCTTTTTATTTATGTGGTCTCGTCGTAGTTTGTTGTAGTCTTGTAGCGTTTGTTCTCAGCTCCTCCTCCACGAGGTAAACAAGGCCTGTGCAGGGCGCTGAGCACGGACATCTTCCGGGTTTTGAGGGAGGGATTGTTTCGATTCTCTGGTCCCTGAGACCGTGCGGAAGTTAGCCTGAACTTAATGAGTTAATTAACGCTATTAAAAGGCGTCTTACGTTTAGTGTTTTTGTAGTCTAGGCAAATATGAGGAAGCAGTTGTATTTCGTCTGTTGTACATGAGCAGACCGTGACAATATCATGGTTCAGTGGAAGTGCCTGTAGTTACTTAGGTGGGCGTTTGAGTCTGTACCAGTTTGTCTGTACCAGCTGTGTCTGAGAATGCCTCTGACCTGTGTCATCAGTCAAAAAGTTGGTTGTATTGCAGTCACATTTAGCAGGTTGGTGTGCAGTAGTTTTTTAAAAAGGAAGATGGGAAATATGATACAACTTTCTAAGATGTTCAAGAAAACTACACTGGTGTGTGTCCCTTTACAAAGTTTAAACTCTGGTTGTGGTTTAGTTATACTGGGATTGAATGAAGCATGAGCATCAGTCAAGGTGGAGTCCAGTTCTTCTGTTCTGGCATTTGTGGCTTGGTTAAAATCGGTCCACAGGTTTTATTTTCCTACCACTGGTTTTCTCAATGGTGGTGGTAATTTTGATTTTCTGTGGAAAAGCCAAATAATAAATATTGATAAGGGTTAGTCCCTAAACTCTTTTTGCTCACTTTTTTTCCCTGCATGATGGGATACTGCTTCATCTTCATAGCTATTAATTCTCTCTGCACTCTTTTTAACTGGATGAGGAAGCCTGTAGCAGTGTGTGGGCTGTGGACTTTGGGTGTTTGCTTCATGTGCTGGTCATGAAAAGACTAGGTGTGTTAACAATGACATTGCACTGGGTGAATAGAGAAAGCCTGTGAAGAAGCTGTAAAGTGTATATTTCTTCTTACCCAAATATTTTTTTGCTGTGAAACTGAAAATCATTTAGGCTTAAGCTCCTGAACCTCTTAACTTGCTAGCCATGGCATACATCTCAAGCAGGGTAGCTCTGGTAATGGGAACAGTCTAACTGCAGTAGCATCATGGTCCGTGTCATGTGCCATGATACGTATATGTCTGTGTACTCTTGTATCCATATTTTTGGTGAATTTCTTTTGAAAATTCCACCTTAAAATGCTTCAGATCACAGTGGTTACAGAAAGTTTTGAAGCTGAGATGCATGTTTTGGGTTTTTTACTAATTATCATAGTGATTCATACAGGTTCTGCGTAAAAACATGAAGGTTGGGAACAGGTTCCATTGGCATCAGCTTCTAGCTTTCTCTTCTAAAAACTTGAAGGTACTACAAGGGAGTTCAAGTAATATTTTGTATCAAAACTAGATTTTTCAGAGAAGAATGCATGTGTAACTGAACACTTTGGTAAATACATATGAAGATCTGAAGAGAGCATAGCTTATTTTATGACTACTGGGGAAAGACTTATTTAATGTTATCTATAGTATGTCATCAGTACTGTACTTTCAGTTTCACAGGCATTCTTAAAATTAAGAAAAAACTAAAAAACAGACATATCGTTCAAAAGAAGTAGCACTATTTTGTACTGAATAGGAAGCAACAATGAAATATAGAATTGGGATTTTATTGTAACAAATCCTGATGCTTTCAAACAGTGTTACAATTGTTTTTCAAATGTATGTTCACATTAGCAAATAGAAACAAAGTCTAATTACAGTCTTGTGTTATCCAGTGATGGTGAAACTTGTTTCGATTTTTAGAGCTTTCACTTCTTTTAAGGCCTGTTTTGATTAACTTTTGGAACTCCAAGTTTTCATATTTGCCCAACTTGTCTTTATAATCATGCACACTATACTTGAATTATTTTAAATGGGAATTGCTATTCTCTCATAATTGCATAAAATGAGGAACAGTTGCTTAATGAAATGCGTCAGATAGCACAAAACCAAGATAAAATCACAAGAAGTAGCGTTTTGACAACCTCTTCTTTTTAAAAAATAAACAGATTTCTTTTCCTATTCATTAACTTTGTCATTCTTACTTT